TAGAAAACATCGACATTGTAAGTTGATTTGGCGCCAATAGAAAACATCAACATAGTAAGTTGATTTGGCGCCAATAGAAAACATCGACATTGTAAGTTGATTTGGCGCCAATAGAAAACATCAACATAGTAAGTTGATTTGGCGCCAATAGAAAACATCGACATTGTAAGTTGATGAAAGAGACATTCCATGTTGAAAAGTCTGTTTAATCACATTGGCGTTTCTTTTATTATATTGGCATAATTTTACAATCTCTAAAAGGCCACGCTCAAATAACTTTATTAAAAATAAAACATAAAGGATGATTTCAATTATTATTCTTAACTTTGTTTACCCAAAACTGGAGTTTATTACGAGACATTTTTATACACATAGATAAAATAACGACCCATATCTCCAGAAAAGTTTATAAAAATATGATTTCAACATTCGTGTGGCACGAAATATAAGAACGTTTTAATCTGCCTAAATTCACCCAAACCTTTGTTACTTTATGATTAAAATAAAACGGTGACAAACCAAGAAAGAATACAGACACCAATCCTAATTTTGACCATTTGGTCCTCCACAAGTTAAAACAGACACCAATCCTAATTTTGACCATTTGGTCCTCCACAAGTTAAAACAGACACCAATCCTAATTTTGACCATTTGGTCCTCCACAAGTTAAAACAGACACCAATCCTAATTTTGACCATTTGGTCCTCCACAAGTTAAAACAGACACCAATCTTAATTTTGACCATTTGGTCCTCCACAAGTTAAAACAGACACCAATCTTAATTTTGACCATTTGGTCCTCCACAAGTTAAAACAGACACCAATCCTAATTTTGACCATTTGGTCCTCCACAAGTTAAAACAGACAACAATCCTAATTTTGACCATTTGGTCCTCCACAAGTTAAAAGCATATAAGTTTAATTTCTTTCACAGATGCTAAGGTTGAACAACACATACAAATTTTGCACAGGAACTGCCATACACACACACACACATATATATATATAGTAATGAAGGGTAATTACAGTCAAAACGCTTGACATAATTTCTCTAAACACGATATTTTGAAGTATTTTATGCATTTATATGATTATTTATCTGTTTAAAAATCCAATTATAATTATCGTACACTTCATCAGAAAGTGAAATAATGAATGCATCCATTCCTTACATAGTGTGGGTTCCAAAACCAGCAAGATACCCTGGTGGTTATCAGATAAAATACTTTTGTCATTTGTCAGACTCGATCTTTTGAGCACAAGTATATTTAAATTTGTATTTAATATTGTGTGTCTTAAATAACTTTATGCTGTTTGATGATGCTTACTGCATGCGGTTTCATGGCCAGATTCTTTGGTTACTCAGCAGTAAATATTGAGATAGACTAACTTTGCTTGGTATTTGACAAGAGGGTGGGGATATCAATAGAACATAGTCAAATTAGGTACCCTCCAGGGTTGACCTGCATGATGATGGAGTCTTGTGACCTTGACGAGGGTAATCCGGAACAAAGTCTAAATATTATTTTATAGTTTATGAATCTTTCTTTCGTTAATATCTTTATCGTAAATAAATTATCTTACCAGATGAGGTTCCGACTATAACGTTAACACTTGTTTTTATTATAGAAGCCAAAAACTGGTTCCAACTGTTCTCTCATACTACTTATAGAACATTTATTTCACAGTAATTCCTGAGTCGTTAGATAAAAAACAAAACAAGGAAATATTAAAGGTCTTCCCTTAAATATCTGAGCTGAAAAACTTGTATCTGTAATATTCCATATCATTATATAAAAGCACCATCTTTTTGAACCTTATTAATTACTCATGATTTTTTATTTTGTTTTATTTGGAGATGACTATATATATATATAAAATCCCTAGTCCATTTTTGAGTCAATAATCTATAAAACAGACGTTTTGTGTTCCTCACTATCATGATATCTTCCATGTCATTGTACTCATCCTCATCCATTGGTTTACAAGAATAGTTTGTGAATGGCATTACACGTAAGCTGCAAATAGATTTTCAATCTGTTAAAGTACCTTTTCACACGAAGGTTGGAAATGTTTAAAATAATTGTTAAGAGAGTCACGGTTAAAATCGTTTGGCCGACACGATAATTATCTTTCTTACAGAGATTTTAATCACTTTCTTTAGTAATTTCTGCTTTTATCACGCTCTAGTTGTTTACACTTGTTTGTTATTTGTGTTAATGAATTCTATTAGTATAACTGTTTTTCGCGTTTTTTTTTTCCCTCAAAAGAGTGAATGTCAAAGAAGCAGATGCGATATTTTGTTTTAAGATTATAAAACTATTTTACTACCGATCTTCTTTAAATGTTTCTGAGTAAAGAAAAAAATATAAATATGTATGTTTACTTTAACGCCACAGTGCGGTTGACAAATTAATGAGTACCCGGAACGTTGAAAATCCGTGTTGGGAGCCGACGCAGTCTCAGTAGGGCTGCTGTTTCACTGCGGAATATATTGATTGGTGACGTCACAACCACGAACCATCGAGACTCCATAAGAGACTGCTTTTTATCTGAAAGTGAATTTAAGCCTCAAATTTTCAGTGTTTTGATTTTGGTGTTGTATTTTTGAGCCTTACATGTTTGTGGTAAGTTTTATCTATATATTTTTACAATTTCGCTAACGCTCGGATAAAGTTCAGAGGTCGGATACTTGTCTATTTATATATTACCAGAATTACGTAAGAACAGTCACTGCCGGCGGGCAGCCATAGATTAACGGTAAATTTTACAATCGTAGCTTCGCTTATTGACAAGTTACACTTTACAAAGTGATTAAATCATCATATTTCGGTATGCTAATATTTTAGCCAGTTATTTAGTCAAGGCCGTTAATAAATAAAAGCTTTAGAACACTGCAGCTGAATCTAACACACGTATATGTTTAAGCATTTGTTAGCAGGAGGAAACATTTGGTTTCTTAAATTCCTGGCAAAGAATTTTAATTATATATGAACTTTTGCTGCTAAAACTGTATTAAAATCATTTTAAAAACTAGCTTCGTTTTATCATGGGTTACACGTACCGTGGTTGCTACAGGGACACCAACGGAGCTTCATAAGCAACCCATGATGCCCCCCAGTGGCACAGCGGTATGTCTGCGGACTTACAACGCTAGAATCCGGGTTTCTATACCCGTGGTGGGCAGAGCACAGATAGCCCATTGTGTAGCTTTGTGCTTAATTACAAACAACAACAACAACCCATGATCACGTAATATACCACAATAATTTTTGTCGAATAGGTTAACAATTTTTGGAAATTTTCGTTCAAAGTTATAGTAGCTATTCTTATCGAAGTTACTGGGTTTAGGATTACATATGGCATCTACATGGACTGATGGACTGAGCGGACATAATTGATTTTGTTCTTTATGTTTTATTATTTTTTTCACAGGTAGATACAGAAAATAACGTTTCAAATGACGTTATATAGTTTATGAAGTTGTAGTGAAACCCTGAGTAAAAAAAGGATCATATTTCTTCTAAGTTATCATTTTCGTTAACTCGTATTCTAGTTATAAAATCTCTTATTTCAGCCATTTTTGTGTTGGTGTTAAATGAAGACGCATACAATTTCTGAAGTTATGTATCATAAAGGCTTTCTCTTCCCTTCAAGTGTAGCACTAAACCGGTGTTTTAGCACATTTACACAACCTTTGCAACTTTAAAAGAATGGATGAAGGCGAGGAACCACGCATTTCTATAATACGAGTGAGCTCTGGTGGCTAGAATAATTAATAATGCACATAGAAGTTAAGAGAATGTTTCTAAATTAGTCGATATTTTTAGCCATCGTCATTCCTAATATATCAAGATAATTTGCACTTGTAGGAAAATGTACATTATGACCACGTAATTAAACAACTATAACGAGTGATATATAAGGAGACGCAGATTTATTTTCCAATATCACTGCAAATAGATATACATGTCATAGTTATAAGAGCTGAATGCGGCCCAGTAGCTAGCATGTTGGACTGTATATCCGGAATTCTGTGGTTCACACCCCGTTACCGAAAAAAATAAATAAAAATTCGCGCCTTGCACTTTAGGGCCGTGGTCGCGTTTTAAAAATGACGACCAAATCCAACTATTCGATTTTAATAGTCTACGAGTTGGCGGTGGTGTTGATTTGTTATCTTCCCTCTTGTCTATCAATTCAAATTTAAGGACGGCTAACGCAGATAGCTCTTGAGTTGCTTTGTGCGAAAATCAACATGTTCACATAATTATCTCGGCTATTGTATGTTTGGAATGGAGGGTTAATAGGGAAGAGCCTTAAACATGTTTTCTAAAGGAAACTTATCGTATTAAGTAGAACTTTAATAGGGGAAGCGTGTTAGGATTATGTTAAACATGTTTTTAAAGGAAGTTTGTTTTGTATTATGATCTATATTGCATCATTCTTATTCCACCTTTAATATTTAATTATATTTATTCAGTTATATATATCTGAAACACAAAAAAATACGTAAATTTACTTTGTAAGTGGCAGACGAAAAGCTATTACGTACTATCTGTAGAATAAAGTGTGTAAAATTCTTTAGAGTTATTCGTCTCCTATAGATGCTAACTAAGAAACTAAAAATAGGATTTGTTAATATTTGCTTCCTTGCTATATGTATCGTATGCTACAGACATTGGCGATCATGACCACCCATCCATTTTAATCTCTGGTAGCCTGTAGAGGGCCTATGTTGGTATTTCTATTTTCTATCCAGTTACTGATGTTATTCATGTATTTGAGCCTTTGTCTTTTTCTGCTTTTCTTCCCTTCAATTTTGCTTGTTATTACAATATTTTCTTTAACCTCTCTTCTCATAATGAGTCCTAAAAACTGAAGTGGCTTATTCTTTATTACTTTCATAAGAGACCTCTGAACTCTTGCCCTTTGTAACGCTTCTTCTTTTGTCATTTTTTGTTTCCGAGATATTCTCAGCATCCTCCTAATGTAACACTTTTCCACTGCTTCTAATCTGCTTTGTATAGGTTTACTAATTGTCCAACTTTCGCATCCCCGTAGAAGAACTGACCAGACATAACAATTTAGTTCATGTATTTTACTGATATTTGCTGTTCAATATATGATAAATAGTTTGTTCGTTCTAGCACAAAGCTGCACAACGACCCGAGTACTGTTCGCCGCGGGGGCAGAGCATTGAATTCTGAAGCTTACCGAATTAATTGTATGACAGAAGCGATTGAGATGTATTAGTAACGATCACACTGTTTTCGTGATATATCACGCATGATTATTGACATTGTTCTAATTAACGTAACACTGTTTAAATACCACAGGAACAACGGGCAAATGATAAACACGTTCTTCGAAAAGTATCACAACCACAGTAACTCATAGTTTTCAAGCATAACGTAAGGTTCTATTATCTAAAACTTTGTCCCGTTTTAAGTAAAATAAAATTTCGATTAAGAAGTTATAACCCGTTAAGATGTATTCTGCGATTAATAGTCATATTTACGACTTCTTCTCAAGCCTTCAATGTCTACACACAAGCACACTGGGAAGCATATCGAACTAATATTACAAGCAACGATAACAGTTATGTGTCTTATCAGAAATACTCCAGACACATCTTGCAAGCTGTACAGAGACTTGTCAGAAGCAGTAAAACACTAACTAGATCATGTGGATAATTTGTCAAGAAATAATCCAAGTAAAGTGTGTTCTGTGTAGAAATGTCAGAACTAATCTAAGCAAACATTTATTTACATGGAAATAATCCAAGTAAAGTGTGTTCTGTGGAGAAATGTCAGAACTAATCTAAGCAAACATTTATTTACATGAAATAATCCAAGTAAAGTGTGTTCTGTGGAGAAATGTCAGAACTAATCTAAGCAAACATTTATTTACGTGGAAATAATCCAAGTAAAGTGTGTTCTGTGGAGAAATGTCAGAACTAATCTAAGCAAACATTTATTTACGTGGAAATAATCTAAGTAAAGTGTGTTCTGTGGAGAAATGTCAGAACTAATCTGAGCAAACATTTATTTACGTGGGACCAAAGTAAGTCTGCTATTTCCTGTCTTTCGTTTCAAGAAATAATCCAAGTAAAGTGTGTTCTGTGGAGAAATGTCAGAACTAATCTAAGCAAATATTTATTTACGTGGGTCCAAATTAAGTCTGCTATTTCCTGTCTTTCGTTGTTGTTTTAGTTAAAAGATGTTATACGTTGTGTAACATCTTTATATCTCCATTGTTTGCTTATACACACACACACACACACTTGATTCTACTGTTTATTTCTTAAAATAATTTGTAAGTTTATCTATCTACATTATAAAAAAAGATGGATTATTTGGAGTTCTCTTTAGAACTTTGGAAATTTTGTTTTTTTAATATCCAGTTAAGTAGTCTATGTTTTTGTTTTATGACGAAGCTAATTAACTAAAAAAATGTTTATTATAAACTTTACCTGAAAAAAAAGCTAGTATTCGGTGCATAAAACATTATTTGTTTGTTTGTTTGTTGTGAAGCAAAAACTACACAAAGGGCTATCTGTGCTCTGTCCATAACGGGTATTGAAACCTGATTTTTATCTTTATAAGCTCACAGGGCTAATGCTGAGCTGTTAATTATTATTATGATTATATTATTTATTATTATATGGGTTCATTAAAACATCTTGCAACGAAATACAAATGCTTATCTTTGGATCTATGGGTCATTGTGATCTGCTTTAATTTCGTGAATTTATTTTATAGCTGCTCCAGTATATCAACAAAATGAAAGGTCTTTTCCTTTTAATGTGCTTACATTTGGTAAAAGGACTTTCATTGGATGAGATCCACGCCTATCAAAATTCTCCTGAGAGACGAGGAAACCTATTGGATGCTGTGGACTATGACCAATATGCAGTTCCTTATCCTTTCAGCTTGGTGCACCAATCAGTACCTGATACAGATAGAACAAAAGAGTACACAACATTCCGCGATCTGAAGAAAAAACAAGCATATGTCGTTTCTGAGGATGTAGCTCCCTCTGATGGACTCTTCGCTGCTGGAATCTCAAACAAACTGCTCCGTACACTTCATGAACTCGACCGCCAGATGGCGCAAAAGGAAGCAGTTAGTCGACATCAGGACCCATACAATCAGTTAATAAGACATCAACGTTTTCCAATATCGGATGAAGATGCCAAATCTTTTATAGATAGAAATGATTATGACCAAGAAAACGCTTACAAACGTTCAGTCTACTCACTGGGACTTCGATCGCCACCCACAGAGTCCTCTTTTTGGACAAAACAGAGATTCAACTTTGCACCAGCTTTCAGTGACACCTATATGGGCAACAGAAAATGGGCAGACGTAGACGAGCCTGGTCGAGAGTTTAACGAAAGACAGAAGACTCGTGCATGGAAGGAGAACGGTGAAAATGGTTAGTATATATGCATATTGTGGATACTTATAATTAGTACAAAAAGAAATGTAGAAATATAGTATTTTAAAATGTTATATCTCTGTAAATTTGATGTCATTGACATTGTATAAAGATTACAAACGTTTTAAAAGTTATAAAGCAATTAAAGTTATCATATATATATATATATATATTTATATTAAATTGTAATAGTCATAATTATATTTATACAGGTTCACTCTAGTCTATCGCTTCAAAATTAGGAACGGCTAATATAAATAGCTCTCGTGTTGCTTTGCGCGAAATTCAACAAACAGATTTTTACAGGTATATCAGATTCGGTAAACTGATTCGGATTTTGTTAAGAAAAAAGACATTCTAGATTGCGCAATGAATGAAACATTCGACCTGTGTTGTATGAGACTTACTGTTACACGCATGCACACGTGTGTGTACATCTAATGTAGTGATTGCAGCTAATAAAACACTTTATTTCACTTGTGTGTGAAGTGACCAACTTTCCAAGTTTTGTCATTGTGTGTACCTATAACGCATTCACCGTACACTTCTCATAGGTAACTTAGTACTTGAACATAGATTTTCTATGAAACTGATTTCCCATGTAGTCAACGTATTTCCATGGGGAATTCTTCAGGTGTTTATTCCTATATTCTTATGAAGGTGATGATATAGCAACACATTTCCAAGTTTAGCATCCTATAATCCGAAAACTGACTGTGTTTTTATTTAGCCCAAGAAAGTTAAAAGGTTATAGGATTGACTCTTACAGCAAAATGGCTGGCGAATTTGAAAATGAGAATTTTACTGTTACATTATGCTATATTAGCACTTTGCTTTCCCTTCTGATGTCCACCAACTTTCTTTAGATTGTACTTATTCTTTTCAGGAGTACCCCGGTGGAACAGAGTAAGTATTTAGATTTACAAAGCTAAAATCAGGGGTTAGATTCCCCTTGGTGGACACAGCAGATACCCTGATGTGGCTTTGCTACAATAAAACACACACACACACCCTATCAGGAATTGACTCATATCAATGTAAACACAAATTGCTGTTTGTTACTGATGGTCAATTACACATAGATTTAGAAATAGGTTTTATTGCTTATTGGCAGCCTATCATTTCCTTTTTTTGCCTCTCTCGGTTTATTCGCTCTCTCTCGCATCTTCGTTTGTACTTTCGTCTTTTGCAAGTAATAAAAATATTTTGTAAATGTAAAACGATGTAGGGATGACATTGCCAAAAACAATGCACGAAGAATATGGGGATGATACAGCTATAAATAGATCATCCCTACACGATTTTCAATATTAAAATTTAATGTTACACAGTAAAATGCACGAGTACAAAATGGTTTCGAGTTCGGTAAATTCGACCGACCATGTAGCGAGAGTTTGTAATAATCAAGACATGTTTTCACTCAACTTGGTTTTCCTTGTACGTAAGTCCTAGGTTCTGAGTTACACTACACTGATGCCTACTTTGACATGACCATAATATTATGATAAACAAACTGAATACCAACAGTCAGGAATATATAACTTTCAACTACAGTAATATTGAAGTCAATTATGCATTTTACAGTGTAACATTAAATTTTAATGTTGAAAGTCATGTAGCGATAATCTATGTATAGCTGTATCATCCCAATATTCTTATAATGCTTGGAAATGGCATTATTAGTCTCAAAGTGGGTGCCTTGTCATCGAATCCCTAAATTCTTGTTTGCATTCTTTTTTGACACTGTCATCCCTACATCATTTTACATTTACAAAATGTTTTTATTACTTGTTTTCCCCTCTGAATAAAAGTTAGTGTATTCTATGAATGTGTAATAGAATTTGATATTAAATATATGCATACTGAATTTTTGTACTCCTTTACTTCGGACATAATATAGGAGTTAGCTTCTTAATGTTCATCTATTATTGGCTGCTAATTCCTGTTTCATCGTTCACCCTGTATTTAAGCTTTTTAAAGGAACATTAGATATCTGTAAAAAAGCTAACTGCAAGGGGTAATGATAAAACCGCTTACGCTAAAATTGTGATTTTTATTTATTACGACTAAGCCAGAACACCGTGCACTGCCCAGAAACAGGTACAGTGGTTTCTTGCTTTCTTTTTTAGGCTTGTTGGCTAGAGAAACAAATAAAAGTGAGTGACAACCATTTTTTAAAGTAAAACTCTCTGTCATTTTTGATTTTTTAGCGTGCATATTTGTATTATACCTATTGAGCACCTTGGCCATCCCTATATGTATAGTCTATCGACTCTATGATATTCCTTTCTCAAACCCACGCTGAACCTGAAGTTTTCTTTCTGACCTTGCACCTGTTTCCCATATATTGGATTATTACGTTTCATAACCATAGGGTTTCTTAGAAAGGTGGCCACTTACACAAATATTTTTCTAGGGATGGGATAATCAAGTTTAAGTAGTGGATAAAATCATTTTTTTGTGGAGGTCTCTCGTGTACATCTCCACTCTACCTATGTTATAACCCAAATTCTTTGCTTAAGCTTGTTTATATGTTTCAATATTTTGTCTATGGCTTATCAACCTTCCTACAATATTCAATTCTGCTCCCCCCCCCCTTTGCCTCCTTGTGACCCCTGGACATGAAACATTAATTTCCGATTCAGTCCCATAGAAAAAATAACACATTTGTACTTGTCTATAAACGAAACTCGTATTATCTCTTTGTATGTGGTGTCATGAAAATAAATTATTAAAGAAGGCGAGTTAAGTAGTACAATTGACTCTCTTCAGTTTTTCTGTTGCTTCATTTTACACATCATTAATTTCGCTATCCCTTGATACTTAGCGTATTTCCATTGTAGGGTTTTTTATCAATTACACAATTTCTGATTAATTTTGTATGAAACTACAAATCTTTTTCATCTTGAAGAGTAACTGTGCACCCTAAAAACCTGTTGTTGACATTTTTGTCTAGTACACACACACACATTTATTTACATATGTGTGTGTATGTGTGGATGGAGTACTCTTAAAACCCTATCGCTAAAAAGTTAATCCGTTATATAATTCATGCATAACATAACTTATCCATGCTTACTCAAACGGTTTCGTTATTTTAATCTGACATTTGAAAAACGGTCAAATACCGACCTAGTGTTAAAACTGAAATTATCCAATAATTCTTAAGTTTTTTGAAAGTTTTTCCCATAGGTGCTGAAAACAATTGTTTTGTAAATTAATAAAACACTTATTTTTAGCAAGTTTTTTATATAACGTTATTCTTTTGTATAAAATCAACTATCTTTCTTTAGAGATTTTCAAAGGTGAAGACACTGAATATGCTGACTTTTTCCCCCTTTCAACATCAGAGAGGTCACAACCAAAGCTTCAAGAAAATAGAAAATTTCCAAGTTTAAAGCAAACTGTAATAGAACCAGGTGAAATGCGTGAATTTTTACAAGCAATGAGCATGACCAAAAGGAAAAGCTTGAATGATCCTTTAAGTCGAACCATGTTATTAATGAACAAGGAAAAGGACGACAGTGAAGACGTTTTCAAGTATTTGACTTCTGAAAGTCAACGGCGTAATATGAGGAACGAACCATTTACAAATCGTTTTGAAAATTCTGTTGGTGAAGGTAAAGATGCTAACATAGACGAAGAGACAATTTCCAATCTTGGTCTCGAAGAGTTGCCACCATTATTTGGAAAAACAAAACATATAACTCTGAATAAAAGGGATTATAAATTTGCCACCAATGGCAAATCAGCAACAATGAGTGAGCTAAGAAATATATTCGAAGATGATGGAGATAAAAGAGCTTTTAAAAAAAGACGTATTGAATACCAAGGTGAAAAGCCATCTAGAACAAAAAGTGGGAAAAACGAAACAGATGAGCTACCAGTTCATAGCGAAGAAAGCATAAAAAATGATTTTTCTAAAATAACAACAGAAATATCGACTACAGAACAGAAAAAATCCAAAGATCCAGATATAAAAGAAGATTTCGAAAAATGGTTGAGGAAAGAGTATATTAAGAACATGGCCAAAGCACTAAACACTTTAAGAAAAAAGAGAAGTAATAATTGGACTTCAGTGTTATCCAAAGACATTGAAGATTTCCTTCAGCATGCTGGGAATGAAGAAAAGAGCGTAAGCAAAATAGATAAAAAACAAGTGAAAAAAAATGTAAATAAGAACGAGAATGTAGCAGATGGCAAAGCAACAAAACAAGAAAGCATAATTATAAAGGATGGAAATGAAAAGAAAGGCAGTCTGTCTTCTCAAAAATTACAGTTTGAACAAGCAGCCCACAAAATAAAAGAAATAGAGAATAGTATGTTAAGTGCAGCAATGAAAATTATGAAAAAGGGCGCCACTGAGGGCTTTCACTTGGATGCCGAAAAAATATCTCATAGGCTGGAGGCTGCAAGGGAATTGGATAACCTTAGACAAGCGTTGGCTCATCTACATATGGCTTTAGATAAAATTGAACAAGAAGGTCAAGAAAATGTAAAAGTCTCTTCTGAAGGTGAGGATGAGTCTACAGAGAGAACAACACCTGATCGGTCTTCTTTTATGGAAAAGATAACAGGTTAGAATCATAAAATTGATGAAAATGAGCTTGATAAAAAATCAAAGATAAAGCGTTTTTAAAACAATTGTTTTCAAAAAATAAAAGTTTTAAATAGATAGGTATGCCAAGAAATTATGTTTAGAAGAATACTCATTTGAATAAACAGAGTTTAAAAAATGTGTACTTTATTACTTATCTCCTTTTTGCTTTGAATATTTATTCTTAAGCCCAAACATAAATTATCAGGTTACTTTGACTTGTGCGAAAATTGTAAAGAATTTATTTGTCACTCAGCAGTCACCAAATGTAGACTTAATTATGTTTGATTTCGCTTTTAAATATGACATTTAAAACGATTACATTTTTGGTCACGGACATTATTATTTGCATAATAAGAAATATGATGTAGAACACTAGAAACTGACACTGCAAACTTTATTGAAATACTAAATCTAAGACTCCTCATAAAGTAACAATTAGATTGTTTGTTCTTGAATTTCGCGCAAAGCTAAACGAGGGCTATCTGCGCTAGCCGTCCCTAAGTTAAGAGTGTAAGACTAGAGGGACGGTAACAAGTCATCACCACCCACCGCCAACTCTTGGGTTACTCTTTTACCAACGCATAGTGGGATTGACCGTCACATTATAAAGCCCCCACGGCTAAAAGGGCGAGCATGTTTGGTGTGACGGGGATTCGAACCAGCGACCCTCAAATTGCGAGTCGAGCGCCCTAACCATTTGGCCATGCCGGGGCATAACAATTAGATACAGACATTAGACTTCAAATTTTGCTAGCGAATAGTGATTATAATAAAATTTGCAGTATTAGGTTTGTTGTATTGTTTTAAAAAAAGACACTACATTCTTGGTTCGGTCCCTTAGAATGTTTCCAAGAAGAATTGTGTATAAAAAATACAACAGACCTAACACGATTCTGTTATGACAAATATAATCTCACTTTTTACCATTTTTCTAAGTTCTTTTACAAGATAGAAAAGTTCAACATTCGCGAGAGCTAGGTGAAATTTGTAATATATACTTATATAACTTGGGCATGAGTCCAAGTTAACAAAAACTTATTTTTATTTTGTTAGAATGTGACGTTTTTGAATGTACAACCCGATGGCGAAGACCGAAAAAATGTTTCAATCAACTAACGTACAATTTTTTTCTGGGTATCTTAATATTGTCTTCTTCTTTTCACAAATATTCTTTTTATTTAAAACATCCGTCAGCTAATTACTACTTAATAGAAATATGAAGTCCAGTCTATAATTAGATTCATCACTTAATACTGAGTTAAACCAGGTTCGGAGAATCCTACTCCCTATCACTAACCTCTGACAAAGGCAGACCGAAAAACAAAACAAGGCTTCTTGTAGTGGGATATGTATAGTATCGGTATAGTGTTTTTGTTGTCTTTTACTCAGCATAGAGAACATACAGAGATTGAGTACGTTGTATAAAAACAGTTTTAGATGCTCATCACGTCGTTTCAGTCCATGTCGCTACGTCTGGTTATGCTCTATCTGACGCCTTTGCATCTTCACAATATTCCTGCAGAGTAGTTTAAGTCATTCATATCCAAAGCACACCACTTCTTCCTGCGTGATTTACATAATTCATTGAATGTACAATGACATACAGGTCAAGTCGCTAGACACAGCGGCTATGGAACTCTGTGTGATTGGTTGTTGAAATGGGCACTGTGAAACCATTGTACTCGTACACTAAATGGATTATAGAAAGCTCTCAAAGAAGAGTGGTGTACTTTGAACATGACAGCCTTACAACGGAGATTTTCGTAATTGAAACTACGCTGTAGGGTTTTTATTAAGATACTTAATCGTCAGATGAAGCATGATAGCAGTAAGAAGGTGATAGGTGGATCGATAGATACGTAAAGGAATGAGAGACTGCATGAACGGAGATAAGTGAGCACATTACTGAATGCATGATAGATAAATTAGCCGCCTGCAATCTGACAGTAATGGAAAGTTATTGAGTGGCATGATGGATGAATGGAATACGGTTAAATGATTTGGTGGATGGGTAGGTGAATCAAGTTCTGGTGACTGCTGGAATAAGCAGGTAGGTGGATGGGCTGAGTGTGATTAATAAATGTGTAGTATAAGCGGGTAGTCGGTTTTATGGATCTTGACAAATATTTTAATACACAACAAAAACAACATAAACTAAAAGTTGCTCGTGCTTGTCTAACTTACACTATTAAAAACACACAAAAGTTTACACGCAGCGTTTAACTTACTTACTGAGACATATATATATTAAACTACTAGGTGATTCCACTTTAAACCAGTATATATATATAGCTAGGCTTCACATAGAGTATTACCAGATATGCATTAGAGAACTTTAACAAACGAACATGTACGTAACAGCGATTTCAGTCATTGGGAAAATAAGAATGGAGAGATATTCTTTTGATCATCAACGACAAGATTTGAACCAAAGCATTCGCCCAACAACATCTCTGTTTTTTTTAACTTATTTTTTTGTAATAGATGAATCTACTGAAGTGGTTCTCAAAGTGTGGTCCACGGGTTGGTCCAAACCAAGTCAGTGACACGTAACGCCACGGCCGATTTTTTGTAATAGATGAATCTACTGAAGTGGTTCTCAAAGTGTGGTCCACGGGCTGGTCCAAACCAAGTCAGTGACTAGATGAATCTACTGAAGTGGTTCTCAAAGTGTGGTCCACGGGTTGGTCCAAACCAAGTCAGTGACGCGTAACGCCACGGCCGAGGCCATACGAGAGTGTAAAATAAGTGGGGTAGGACCGATAGATTATCCGCGGGGTCTTTTTTTCTCTCCGAAGTGGTCCTCTGACGAAAACGTTTGAGAACCACTGTTCTAGTGACTTACAGGATATTTAGTTATGATTTGTTTTTAAATAACACAATCTAGATAACAAAATAAAATGCACAGATTTTAATTTTATGTGAAATTAGTAACGCTTCCATGATAAACAGACTGTCACATACGTATAAATTCAGGGCATATCAGAGAGGTTAAAGTGGTGGAGCTTACTCATGCACAGTGGTTTCGTTGTTTCAGATATTCGCCCAAAGCTACACAAGGGCTTCGCTAGCAGTCCCTAATTTTGAGCTTATAGACTGGAGCAGTGATTCACAACCTTTGCTGGCTCAGAAACCATTTTTAGATAACGAAGGCCAGTCGCGGCCCAGTAAATAGCTTTAGTGAAAGAAAACAACTGGCTTATTAAATACTTACTTTATACTCTTATGTATTTTCGAAGTCTGTTCACGAGTATTTCACATATACTGACGATCTAATTTTGGGCAACTCTTATAACGCACCCATGGCCTCAAAGCGATTTTTTTTGTGTGTTAAAGGGACTCAAATCATGGACCTTCAAATCTACAGTTCAGCACACTAACCATAGGCCACGATAGTCATGCATAGCGAAAACAATTAATTTTATAACTAAGTCGACTAACGAATCCGAACAATTAATTCTAAGATTACCAACATCTTGATTCTCTTGTTATTTGACTAGGAAAAGTTGAGTAGTAATGTTTTATAGTAAAAAAGTCGTATTTTCTGGAATTGGAATGTATATGAAACAAATTAAATTCAATATCTCAAAATGAACGTCAAAACATTTTGTAATAGCAAGAAACAAAACTGTAAGTAAAAAAAGAAGACATGTCTTAAAACTAAAGTTTTATAAAACAACTTATTCCTAAGATTCTAAATTAATACTAAGTAAAACTGCTTAAAACACAGTTTCTACAGTAGTGACGTTATTAAGAAATTATTAAAAAGTTTTGTAGGACCTATTATTAAATATATATATATATATTAAAAAATCCTAAGAGGATCTTAATACACCATCTTTTCGGACTTTAGAACCAGAAGGTGGGGATCACCATGAAGAATCCAAAGTGTTCCACATACAACCAGCTGTTGATATGAACTCTAAAGTACTAAAGAACCTTGACCGTTATAACACTGGACAGCCAAATCAAAAAGGTAGGCTGATCCTAGTATTTCTTACACTAGAGCATCTGAGATGTTTTGACAGCTGCTTGATTTTTATAATTCTCGAATACTAAGATAACTGCATATGTTTGCTCATTTTAACTTACAAACGTTTTTACCATAACCCACTACTTTTATAGAACTGGGTTGTTTTTCCCCATAACTTGCAGTTCTCATTTCCCTTTTTATTGACGAGAGCATGGTTATTAGAATTTAAAAAAATGAACTTTATAACACACGTGCTTACTAATTTTTCGCGTCTACCATTGCCAATATTTTTATTTACTTTTTGGCAAAGCAATTCTAGTTGTGACTTGCCAGTATTGTAAATTTAACTGAAGTAAACAGATTTAAAATATGCAAGATTTTGTACACGATTATATTAAGTGTTTGATAATTTCATATTTGCTCGTTTGTTGTTAAACGCTAAGCTACACAATGGGTTATTTGTGCTCTGCCCACTGCCGGTAACGAAACCCGATTTCTAGTGTTATAAGCCCTCAGACTTACCGCTGCGTCACTGGGTATAAAATATGAGTTTTTTTTTTTTAGAATAAAGCAACAAAATGGGCTATTTGTATTCTGTCCACCGGGGTGAATCGAACCTCGAATTTTAGCTTTGTAAGTCCGGAAACTTATTGTTGACCCACCGGGAGAGATAATTTCATATAGAATAAATATCAAAAATATAATAAATGAATGCGGAATTATGTTTCAAAATCTAACATTTGAAATTTTTATACAGTGGTGCAAGTAGTTGTTTGACATTTCTATAATACGTATATATATGATTGAAATTTTGTTACATTGTTTTATTTCATAATCTGTTTTCAGAAGACAGCTGTCCACCTCTGAAACTGTTGACCAGTGACTGTGCAACAATAGATTACTATTTACCTGATGAAACGTTTCGTCAGATGTTTAGTTGTTTGACATTTCTATAATACGTATATATGATTGAAATTTTGTTACATTGTCTTATTTCATAATCTGTTTTCAGAAGACAGCTGTCCACCTCTGAAACTGTTGACCAGTGACTGTGCAACAATAGATTACTATTTACCTGATGAAACGTTTCGTCAGATGTTACGTCAGGCTTGTAACTGGCATGACGTCTGCTACACATGCGTAAGTAACATCATTTTCACAGGTATTTTACTTTATCGCTGCTGTTGCAAGAATATTGTTGAACACTAGTCAGCACGTCCCTCGTGTGGACTATTATATCATTACTGAGTAGGAAAATACGTTAAGAGTCCGTGATAAAAATTATACGAATTTTACAATGAGTGTAACATACAACTGTAACGACAAAATATCGGAACTGCCACAAAAAACATTTAGTTATTTTTTTTTACTGACAGTTAATTTTTAACCTGGGAAATTGTAGTACTTACTCAATCAACGCCGTTTAATAAAATTTGCAGGTTTAGGACACTTCAAACGTTTTGTTAGAACATCAGTATTTCAGTTTTGAAGTTTTACTGTTAACTGATTTACTGGACATCATGAGCGATCAGTCATGCGCATTCTACAAATATAAAAAGTTAGAGGTTCATATCTTGCATGACGATAAAGATTAAATTCTATATATGTTTGACAGAAAAGGCTCGAGGCCACAATATAAAAAATACGTTTTACTTTTTTTTTATTACAGTTCAGCGATCAAGGTCAGAAAGCTATTGTGTAAGTTTAATTACGCAGAGTGTGATGATCTATATATTGATATATAATGAGCGATGAGATTCTCAGTCGAGAAAACTTGTATTTTTTTAGAGTTGTTATTTGTTATAATTATGACTGTGGATCAGACGCGTAGCCAGCGATACAAAGTAAGGGGGGGTCTTTTTACAAAAAATGCGGATCTTTTCTTTAACACGAAGAATTTAATTGCTTTACACGAAAGTCAAGGGTTTAGTAAAAAAATGATAATAATCACAAGCTAGGGGACTGTTTAGATTTTTCACAATACTGGGGTGGTCGTTCGATACCCCTTACCCCGGTAACCCTCCTGCTATGAATACTAGTACTATTGACGAATGAAATATTATTGTATTAAGTTTGTTTAAAGAAGGACTTTACAATGCTCAGCTACTGTTTAAAGATACGAATTAAGCTTAGTTCTGGTTTCAACTGTCTCTGATCAGTAACGATTCCTCTATCCAACGCAATCTGAGGGTCGCGGGTTCGAATCTCCGTCCCACCAAACATACTCGCCCTTTCAGCCGTGGGGGCGTTATAATGTGACGGTCAATCCGGCTATTCGTTGGCAAAATAGTAGCCCAAGAGTTGGTGGTGGGTGGTGATGACTAACTGCTTCTTATAGTCTTTCACTGCTAAATTAGGGACGGCTAGCGCAAACAGCCCCTCGAGTAGCTTTGCGCGAAATTCGAAACCAACCAAACAAACCTTTATCCGAAGAGTGATTCCATTCCCTGGTGAGAAGAGAATGTTGTCTATGTCATTAGCTGTCCTGCCACGTATGTTGATGTAATGTGGAACCAATGTAGACCAATATATATAGACGTAGCCAACACTGCAGAGTGAGCAAGGTGTCTTTTTTTATCCGAAGAGTGAGTCCATTCCCTGGTGAGAAGAGAATGTAGTTTATGTCATTAGCTGTCCTGCCACATATGTTGATGTAATGTGGAACCAATGTAGACCAATATATATATATATAGACGTAGCCAACACTGCAGAGTGAGCAAGGTGTCTTTTTTTCTTCCAAAAACAATGTGGACCTTTTCTTTAACACAAAGAACTTAAGTGCTTTTCATGAAAGTCAAATGTTTATTTAAAAAAAGTGGTAATAGAAGATGGTGGATCTACATTGCAACAACATGAGTGACGGGACATGGAGCTTTGTATTCGGCATTGCCCAATTGACAAGTACTGCTAATTGTAATTTCGATCTTGGCGCTCTTTGGGGTAAGCGCCCTGTGCGAGGACACACGTCACCCATCGCTAGGGCCGGCCCTGACAGAACAGCTAATGATACAGACTTCAGCATTCTCTGGTCAACAAAGAATGAAATCATTGTTTGGATAAAAGAATCTTTACTGATCAGACAACTGAAATCAAACTATTCGAATTAAGCTTTTGTTGAATGAAATATTACTACTTGATTATATTGTTAAACTAAGAACTGTACTATAAGGATATCTATAATACAAGGACGGTGTTGGATTAGGCTATTTTTAAACAAAGCAATGTGTAACACAAAAACCACTGTTACATATAGGACTGTATTGTAATTAATAACTGTGCTACATTAAGCTAATATGAAATAAATGTTTCACTCTATTAAACTATTGTTAAATAAGGACTTGATTTACTAAACTATTGTTAAATAAGGATTTGATTTACTAAACTATTGTTAAATAAGGAGTTGATTTACTAAACTATTGTTAAATAAGGAGTTGATTTACTAAACTATTGTTAAATTCGTTGTTGAAATAACAGATAGGAATAGATGAAGAAAGTGCATACCCATCAGATCTCTGTCTTTCGTCAGTATTTTGTAGTTTCAGGTATTACTTATGGTCAGTTTTAGGTATTTATCTTCTCTGGCTACTGCATTACATGTTCAATTGAACATTAGAACCAGAGATAAACAAAATCAAAGTTAATAATGGTCTATCCAAAAGCAGCTACATATACTAATTATATTTCAACTGAGAACGTAATATTAATAAGGCTTAGTCTTCTTCTTTTACGATCACGTGTTACTTTACTTACGACTGTTTATTATGGCCAGTAATAATTAATACTAGCCGTGACCTGCAAAAAACATTTGCAGTAGTTTTCATGCCCTTCGCTTGAATTTTCCTTATTCTGTCATTTTCACGCACGGTTTTTAAGCTGCGCTTTCTTGCAGGCAATATGTGTTAGATCGTTAAATCCTGGTCAGTTTGGAAAACAAATTTACACGGTCAGACAAACAGACTCACGTACATGTAACTTTATGTAATAAAACTAAATGTAAAGTAAACAATACAGTAAAGTAATAGTACTTATAAAAGTGAACAGAGTATGAAACAGTTATGAGCGTTCAGTGTATGACACGGTTTTACGAGTTGAAGCAAAGGAACATAAAAACGAAAATAAAACCCGCAGTAAAGTAAAATGTAGCTAAAAGGTGTTTGTAGCAGTCTATGAAAGGAACGGAAGCTAAATTATTGCAAAGTATAGTAAATGTAAAGTTGTAATGAAGGCAAACTTAGCTATTATGCAGAAACGTCTGAATTCGTGTTCACAAAGTGATAAGCATATAGAAACAAAAACAGGTAAAATTCTAACGTTTTTGACAGGTAAACCTCTCTTCTTTATAGAGGTAAAGACGAAAAGTGGTCTAGCTGCAAACAATACTAAGATTTTATGTTTTTTTTTATTTGATTTACCAAATAGAAGATTCTCGAGAGTAAGAATGAAAAAATATATGTGTGTGTACGTAAACGTTTTAATTTGCATTTTTACGTAATCTGAATTTTCTAGAAAACCTTCCCACGGCTAGAAATATAACAAACGCGACGCGCCAGAGAGTGTGTCTATTAGTAGTTCGCTATAATCAATGTGCTATAAACTTCGAAAGATACAACTGTGATTTTTATAACGCTTATTAATCGGAAAACTTCAGATATTTGACCAGGAGCATTTACAAAGTTTGAACATTACAACTTATTTAACTTCAGTGGATTCTCATCACACATTAGTATTTTTACGAAAACATTACCTAACGTCACCGGTGGAAAACCTAGCGTGTTTGGCCAAGGGCAAAGCTAGCTAGCTTCCCGTTAAGCGAATCGTACCTACATCAACTCGTAATTAACTCGCTTATCGTGAGCCCTCGACCAGATATCAAGGAAGTTCCAGACTAGAAAGAAGACTTTATATTGTTTGTAAGTTTGAGAAACTTTTGTTTATAGATCATTTTTTGTAATAGCTATTTGTAATAATTGTTATTGTAAATTGTACTGTTGTGTGTATATTAAAACATATTTGTGTTAAAAAAGAAAACTGTGTATCAATCTTGTTGGTAAATATCATAAACTGACTATATATCGGCATATATTTAAATGTTAAATCCAAAGTACAATTTAACTACTAAATTTAAATTATCAGTTAACTCAATTTCAGACCATTTGAAATTCTAATACGTAACAATAGCAGCTTTCTACAAATTAAAAAATTAGGATAAAATTACAACTTTGGAGAATAGGGGGGAGTTTCGCAATACATATCTAACACTATAAGCTATGCATATTTTTAAATATAAATGTAACCTAAACAAACGTCGATAATAAAATAAATATATAATAACAAATTAGCTACACTATGGGTTTCTTAGTAAACCAACTTTGTGTAGTGAGAGTTTTCATAAGTTCTATAATACTTGAAGACAACTTTTATGTTAATAAAACAATTATGTGTCGCAAGGGTTTTCTTACATTCTGTAACATTTGAAGATACTCTCTTTTCTGAGCAATAGTCCTGTTTATTGTAAGGTTTTAGATAAGTTCTATAATACTTGAAGACAACTTTTATGTTAATAAAACAACTATGTGTCGCAAGGGTTTTCTTACATTCTGTAACATTTGAAGATACTCTCTTTTCTGAGCAATAGTCCTGTTTATTGTAAGGTTTTACATAAGTTTTGTAATATTCGAAGATAACTTTATGTTAATAAAACAATTATGTGTCGCAAGGGTTTTCTTACATTCTGTAACATTTGAAGATACTCTCTTTTCTGAGCAATAGTCCTGTTTATTGTAAGGTTTTACATAAGTTTTGTAATATTCGAAGATAACTTTATGTTAATAAAACAACTATGTGTCGCAAGGGTTTTCTTACATTCTGTAACACTTGAAGTTAACCTCTTTTATGAGTTATAGTTCTGTTTATTGTAAGATTTTTCATAGGTTATGTAACATTTGAGGACAACATTTTTTATTAACAAAACAATTATTTATCGTAAGGGTTTTATTATGCTTAACACTCGAAGACAATTTTTTCTGAGTAGTTTATAAACTCTATAAAAACACACTTCATTTCTACACCGTAACACTTAAAAAAAAGCGCTAGATCAGAGACTTACTGAGGCGTAATATTTTATTTTTTCTAAATAATACTTGTTGCAGAGGCACCTTTATGACATAATTTGTAAATTATTAAATACCGTACGTAAAACATTATTATTATAATTTTACTAAAATTTAATTTATTACTTTTTACTTAGCTGATCTTGGGAAATGATTTATTGACGTTAAATAGAATGATATACTCAGTAATATTTCTAAAATAAAAAAATAAATTTTCCTGTTTTAACCTGGAAAGGTTTGATAGAAATATATGTATGATCAAATAATGAACATTCGAGACATCATTCTCTAAGTTTGGACCAAAACGTTCGAAGCTATGAAAATACTAGTAATCGATATGGCATTAAATTAAATCATAAAATTTAAAGTCCTATACATGTTAGAAGTAGTTTATCGGATAGTTTTCGACTATAACGCTGGGTAGCATTTTTGTTTAGAAGTAACTTCTGTAAAAATATAAAAAAAAGGTGTTTTTAAAACGTTTTGAGAGAATAGAAACTTTTCATATTGATTTGCTTAGACTGTCTCCGGATTTTATATGTTTTCCTCATAAGCTCCTTAAAACAGTATTTTTCATTGCAGTGGATTGTATGTTTTTTTAACTTTTTAAAATAGGGTAAAACTTTCGGCTTAACTTCGGACGAATGCGATGAGGGATTTCTTGAAGAGGGCGCCACCTTATGCCAAGGTGATCAGCCTTGTGAAACAATTACCCGCCTTATCCTCCAGCCTCTGCAAGAGTCGAAAATATTCTTCAGGCACAGCGTTCCACAGATGTGTTATCGAGATAACTGCGTTGAAGAGTTTTTGAGAGGGCGCTAGTTATCTAATGTTTTCGTGCACAAAAACAAAACAAAATAAAAACAACTAAATATTATCCACTATATTATTGTTGTTGGCTTAGATGCAGAAACGTCCGTAAAATCTCCATCCCTAAATAACTTGTTTTGTTTACTATTAAGATTTTGTCATTCAAACCTACAGTAATGTGAAAATGTAGCCTAACACAATTTACTTAATGAAATTATTTGTTGGATTTAGTCTCTAGGATAATTTTTAAGTAAGACTGTACTAATTTTGGCATTCTGTAAAGTTATGATGTTCTCTCCTTGAATGAAAAGAAAAAAGATGTTTGTGATGTATGTTATCTCCCGTTATTGTGTAGACTTTTGTTTTACATCTTTACCTTGTTTAAGTGTTCAGGGTGAAATAAATTATTATCGTCAAAAGATGCTTGAATTATGCGTGTATTATATATACATATATATGTAGGCGTGGGACATTGGTGCAATAGAAAAATGTTATAATTATCATATGATTTTTAATGTGCTGTTTTCAATTGTGCTTACTGTGATTTGTTTCATATTTATTAGGACGTGAGCTTATTTAGATTAATATAAGTTGAAACACGCGTAACGAGAATTGTAGAAAAAAAGAATAATAAAATGATCATTCAGAGTTTTGACCCATTTTTTCTGTTCGAAATACCTGAAATGGGAGACATTCATGGATGACAAACGTTTCGTTGTAAAGACTTAACACATTCTTATATTTCAAAACTAATGAAGAAAAACCATTTTTCGTAGTATAATGTAAGATACTGAGATTTTTAAGTGGATTTTTGTAATTTGCAGACTTATCAAGAAATAAAAACTTGATAAAAATCCAATTCTATCAAACAACTTAATTGAATGTTTTTTTTTACATGAGAATCAATAACTTCATCAGAAAACTACTGGAATGATGAGATTTTATGATGATTGCATCACTTGACATCCTCTCGATTCATAAGATAACATTAATAAAAAAGCAAAGAAATACTGATGTTTTTTATTCAATTTCATGCAAGGCTGTTCGAGGGCTATCTGCGCTAGTCGTTCCTATTTTTGAAGCGATAGACTAGAGGGAAGGCAACTAGTCAATGTTACTCACCGCCAACTGGTGAGCTACTCAAATGGAATAGTGAAATTGACTACCATTCTTATTACGCACCTACGGCTCCAAATTGCGGAGCGCGTTTTATTATTATTTGTGTGTGTGTGTGTAGTGGTATCGGGGTGGGAATCACGTGTCCATTGGGTCGCGATCGGTACACAAGGACGTGAAAAATGAGACTTCACTAGCCACTGCCAATAGATTAATTCAAGTCCAAGCAACACTCAAATAAACGAGTTTTGTGGGCGGGCATTTCATTTTATCAACTAGAAAAACAAACAAAAAAACTGAAAGCCATACAGAAAGACCCATAAAGAGATTATTTTCACCTATTTATTTATATATTCCACGAAGCAGACATTTTTTAAACTGATGGAAAATATTCCAAAACATATCCCACTCTCTTTTTCGTACATATATATATATCTTTAACACAGTAATAACAATTTTAAATTTTGTTACTTTTGTTCGGGTAATTTGTGAAATTACCTTTAGCTGATAGACCCGGCATGGCCCGGTGGTTAGGGCGCTCGAC